TTTTTACCCCCATTGACTCTCCATCCTGCACCCATTGTTCCCCCCAAGCCTTCACCACACTATTATCTGCTTCCAAGAGGTATGCATATATGCACATAAGTTCTCTTCTTATTTTTTATCTTATTTTTTCTTCTTCATCTAAAAGAAGATGCTTTAACCTTTTATATAAAGACTAGAGGCCCTTGCACAAAGAGATTCGTGCAATAGGCTTTCCTTCCCTTGGCTTCCAGCACCGTTTTCCTCCGGCACCCAGAATTCAGCCAGAGTCTGCAATCTTCACCTTTGCTGCAGACTCTGGCCTGAATCTTCCAACTTTGTCTTCGCTGCAGAGTCTAGAGTCTGCAACATTGTCTTCACTGCAGCACTCTGCTCCTGTAGATCCCTTCACCCCCCACCCTCCCTTCATAGCTGGTGTCCTGCCCCACCTGGCCACTCCATGCCTGGAGCAGCTGGGAGGCCACCATCTTTGACCTTATAATTTGCATATTCACTCTGATTGGCTGTGGGTGTAGTGGAGGTATAGTCAATTTAAATGTTTGTCTATTATTATGTAAGATACATGGACTTCCTTTCCTAGTACTGGAACCCTGGGCTGATGAAGGGGCTGAGGGACCCTGGTTTCTCATGGAACCTCTGCAGTGAAGATATCCCTCCCAATTAAAAACCGCCACAAGTAGGGGTGGGGCCAGCCTGTTCTCAGTCTCTGCCACCCACTCCTTAACAGTCTTCATGCAGCTCTTTGATTCCCTAATTGTGGGACTTCCATTCAGCCAGATTTTAGATGGTTCTGAATGATGGTTGTTTTGTAGTTTAGTTGTAATTTTGATGTGATTGTAGGAATGGGAGGAGGCGAGCACCTCCTTTGCCTACTCCACCATTTAACAAAAAAATCCCAGAAATTAATACATTTATATTTCCAGATGCCTCATTGTTGCAGAATTTTTAAGATAGAAATTCACATGGGCTTCATATACTGTCTACATGCTGATGACACTGTAGTTAATCTGTCTAGCCCTGTCCTCTCCCAAAAACTGTTTTTTTAAATAAAGTTTTCATTTTTAATGCTCTGTGGATGTTCAATAAATTTTTGTCAAATAAACATTATGTTTTAGATATTGACTTGGACTGAGATGTATACACTTCTAAATATTCATTCATTCTGTAAACTCCATCATTATGCTTAACTTTTAAACATTATTGATTAAAAAAATAAAGAGAAAGTTTTTATTTAGGAATATATCCCAAGAAACTAGAAATACCAAACAGAAAGGATATATGCACTCCTATGTTCATAGCAGCACAATTTATAAAAGCTAAAATTTGGAAACAGCCTAAGTGCCCATCAGCAGATGGGTAGATTAAAAAAACGGATACATCTATACAATGGAATACTATGCTGCTGTAAAAAAGAAGAAATTCTTACCATTTGCAACAGCATGGATGGAACTTGGGAGCATTATGCTAAGTGAAATAAGCCAGTTAGAGAAAGATAAATATCACATGATCTCACTCATTTATGGAATATAGTGAACAATATAAACTGATGAACAAAAGCACATCCAGACTGTCAAACCTCAGAGGGAAGGTAGGGGAGGGTGGTGGTAAGGGGGAGAGATCAACCAAAGGACTTGTATGCATGAATATAAGCCTAACCAATGGACACAGTAACCAGGGGGGTGAGGACATGAGTTGGGAGAAAGGAGAGGAAAAGGACACATATGTAATACCTTAATAAAGAAAAAAAAAGTTAATAAAGAAACTAATCAGAAAATATAACTGGGAATAAGGAGTAAAAAGGACAAACTTGCTAATTATACTAAAATACTATTATTTGATACTTGTGGCTAGGTGCCCAAAATTTGTGCACATTTAAATGGGATTAATTAGAGGAAATATTTTAATATTGCTATTTGCCCTTTCTCTATAATAGAAGTATCAGAGATGAAAGAAAATTAACAAAATGTGTATAAAATCTTTCTCCTGTCAAAGTCTGGGGCATGCCACATGACCTAGAGTCAAGTCCCCACCCACCACCTGCATGCACTTTCAAAACACAGGAGATCAAGACCCAGCTGGCCCCACTCCCATTGGGTGAGACCCAGACCCGCCCATCCCCACCCCCATCAAGCCCCTCCAGTCAGGAAGAGCAGTGCAGCCTGAGATCCCCTGTCAGGTGAGGTACGTGGCCTGAGGTAGCTCGGGCCTGTGCTGGGGTAAGGAGTGTGGCCTGAGGTCCCCCATCAAGCCCCATGGGGCAGGGGGTGCAACCTGAGGTCTCCTGGCCCAGTGCCGGGCAAGGGGCATGGCCTGAGGTCTCCTGGCCCATAGCTGGGGCGGGGGGTGCAGCCTGAGGTCCCTGTCAAGCCTAGCTGGGTGAGGGGCACGGCCTGAGGTCCCTTGTCAAGTCCAGCTCCTCCCTCCACTCCCTACAGCATCACATCAGCGCAGAACAGCGATGCACACAGGCAGTGTCACACCCCTAGCCACAGGCAGGCAGCTTCATATCAGTGCTGGGCAGGGACACATGCAGGCCCACAGACTGGTTGTGACTGAGACATTGTAATGGACAATTTAGCATATTACCACTTTATATGTATAGATATTCCCATTTGGTTACATTACTTTAATAAAGATATATTTAAAATCCAAAAAATGGTTTGAATATAATAGTTTTAAAAGTATATTTTATCCCTCATTAGAATTATTTAGATGCTGGACTTAAATTCTTGGGATTATTTCTTTTCTTTTCTTTTTTTTTCATTTGAAATGATCTTCTAATTTCTAAGTAACATTAAAATTTAAGTGTAGACATACACTGAGTGGCCACATTATTATGATCTCTGAATGCATAATATAATAATCTGGCCACTCAGTGTGTGTGTATTAGAGGCCTGGTGTATGAATTCATGCATGGGTGGGGTCCAGCCTGGCCAGGAGGAGGGGACATAGGCAGTTCGCCAACCTGCCTGTTGGTCAAACACCTGATTGAGGCGAAAATTTGCATATTATCCTTTTATTATATAGGATATACACAAGTGGCCAGATTACTATGTGTTCGGAGATCATCATAATCTGACCACTCAGTGTATTTTATAGAAGTTAATTTTAAAGCCATTTTTGAGTGCTATCTAGTACTCTACATACTTTTTAAAGTAATGGTGGTGGTGGTGGTTTTTTTAACTTTTCTATTTTAACACTTTTAAGGATGCTTTATTTTCCTTACATACATTTGCAGAATGCTACTTCAGTTAACATATGAGATATTGTCATGCATACTTCACACATCAACCAATATTTGTCATCAGATTTATATCTATAATAATAAAAGCATAATATGCTAATTAGATCAGACATTCTTCCCAATGACTTTCCAGATGAAGCTGGGGCTATTATGGAAGCCCGGGTCCTGGATGTCAGAGGGAAGCAGATGCCAGCAGCTGGGGAAAGGAAGACCTACTTTGCACAAATTTCGTGAATCAGGCCTCTAGTTAATAAAATAATGACCTTTTCTACTAACCAATCCATTACTTGAAATATTTTTCTTTCTTTTATTTAAAACTTAAGTTTACCCTTCACTTCTCTCTTTTTTCATATGATTGTCACCAAAACTAGGTTTCTACATTGTCCTCAGATAGAAATATCAGTATACTTATTTATGAATGCTTATGAGTAACTGTCTATAAAATATTTCTTTTCTAAAACATCTGGAAAGCAAATCACTATAGATCAAGATTATTTGAGGGTATGTAGCATAAGTGTTTCAGACAACATGGACTTTTATTGGAGAAAATAAAAGATCAGGAAAAAGAATTGATACTAAGGCTGACATTGCTTAGTGTCTTCTTAGAGAGCCTCAAGCTCAATGTCTATCTGTGGAAGTTGGTTTGGACTGTTTTTGAATCATGCATGTGTATTGTTGTTGTTTTTAATCAGATATAGATTTCCAAGTTAAAGAGTCTATCTTCAGCAATTGCTTTCCATCAGATTTAGGAAAAGAATTTGATGAGAATGCCTGAAAGCTTTCAATTTTGTAAGCTAAAAATATTATAGCACTGTAAATTATCCTTTGTACTTTAAATTTTACAGCCATGGTCTGGTTTGTCAGTTTTTAAACTGTCATGAAAGTTTCCAATAAACTTGATTATGAAAATAAAGAATAGTTGTTATAGAGAGGTTATTACACAGATGACTGTGTATTATCATTCTCTCATCCTAACAGAAACTGATCCAATTCAGACTTTTATCCTCCAATATCTGAAGTATTGGGCACTCAGTCCTACAAATTTATTAATTACTAGAGGCCTGGCGCATAAAATTTGCCTATGGGGCAAGGGTGTCCCTTAGCCCAGCCTGCACCTTCTCACAATCCAGGACTGCTGGCTGTCAACCGCCTGCCTACCTGCCTGCCCAATTGACCCTAACTGCTTCAGCCTGCCAGCCTGATCACCTCCTAATCACTTCCCTGCCAACCTGATTGACACCTACCTGCTTCCCTGCCATCCCAATTGCCCTAACTGCCCTCCCCTGCTGGCCTGGTCACCCCTAACTGTTCTCCCTTGCAGGCCTAGTTGCCCCCTAACGACTATCATGTGGCAGCCAGCTGTGTCCACATGGGGGCAGCCACCTTTGACCAAATGGGGCAACCATCTTGAGTGTTGGAGTGACAGTCAATTTTCATATTATTCTTTCATTAAGTAGGATTTGTTTAATAAGAATGAACTTAAGGGTTCTATTATTTTATTGTTGTTTATTTTTGTTTTGCAAAAGAAAAAATGGATATTGAGGTCATTTTCCAAAATAATTTTTCCTGGCAAGTTTTAATGAAAAAGGAATAAAATAATCAAGTTAAATGTTAATACTGGGCAAAACTAGCAAACCACAGGAGACAGTTTGGCCCTGATTTTTAGGGAGGTCACATTTATTGGGTATATATGTCTTTATCACAAAAGAAGAACTTATTTTGGATATATTGACAAGTTAGAATTTTTTGTTGTCAACAGGTTTGGCAAACATCGAAAAGATGACAAGATTGAGAAAACAAGTAAGATAAAAATACAGGACTCCCTTACTTCAGAAGAGGAGAGAATACGAATGAAGCAGGAGCAGGAGAGGTAGATATCAGTTATTTGATTAAACCTCATTAGATAGAGGTTCTTCTTTTCTTTCTACTCTTTTTTTTTTTTTTTTTATATAAAAATTTTGGCCCTGGCTGGTGTGGCCTCGTTGGTTAGAGCGTTGTCTTGTACACCAAAAGGTGGCTGGATTGATTCCCATTCAGGGCATATATCCAGGTTGTAGGATTCACTCCCTGGTGGAGGCATGTGTGGGAGGCAGCTAATCAAATATTCCTCTCTCCCTCTCTTTCTCCCTTCTTCTTTCTAAAATTTATAATTAAAAAAAAAAAGTTAAAAATTTACATTGAATTGATTTTTATTTTTTCTGTATGAATCCTGATACTGATGGTTATGGGATGAATACAATGCAAAAAAAAAAAAGGTTCAAATGAAAGAAAAACTTACCGTATTTTCTGGCGTATAAGACGACTTTTGAAACGAAAAAAAGCCTGCTCAGATCGGCCAGAGTCAGAGAGGCGGTCTATTAAAAAAAGAACTGGTGTTGCCTTGGAAGTGGGAGGTAGTCTTATACAGCGAATATAGGCCTAAACCTATGTTTTAACGGTAAAATTAGTGGGTCGTCTTATATGCCAGAAAATACGGTACATTTTTGGGGGGCATTACAATCGATTTTATTGGTTTTAGCTAAGCCATTTTGCATAGGAGGTAGTAAGACAGTAAAGACAGTAGATGCATGCATCTGGAAGAAATAAAGAGTGTTTACTCAGTTGGCTTCAAACTTAGTGTTCAAGTTCTCAGAATTTTGACATCAGAATCAGAATCCATGTAATTTCAGGTAACCTTTGCATTTAGGTCACACATTGTCATAGAAACAGCTTGACTTTTAAAAAATTAATCTTTTTATAGAAAAACTAGAGGCCCGCTGCACGAAATTTGTGCACAGGTTGGAGGGTGTCCCTCAGCCCAGCCTGCACCCTCTCCAATCTGGGACCCCTGGAGGGATGTCCAATTGCCCGTTCAGGCCCAATCCTGGTATAATTGGTCCTAAACGGGCAGTTGGACATCCTTCTCACAATCCAGGACTGCTGGCTCCCAACTGCTCGCCTGCCTGCCTTCCTGATTGCCCCTAACAGCTTCTGCCTGCCAGTCTGATCACCCCCTAACCACTCCCATTCCAGCCTGATTGATGTCTAACTGCTTCTCTGCCAGCCTGTTTGCCCCCAGCTTCCCTCCTCTGCCAGCCTGGCCCCCCAACTGCCCTCCCCTGCAGGCTTGATTGCCCCTAACTTCCCTTCCTTTCAGGCTTGGTCCTCCCAACTACCCTCCCCTGCAGGCCTGTCCCCCCAACTGTTCTCCCCTGCAGGCCTGGGTCCCCCCAACTGCCTTTCCCTGTAGGCCTGGTTACCCCCAAATTTCCTACTCTGCCAGCCTGGTCACCCCTAACTGGCCTCCCCTGCAGGGTTGATCACCCCCAATTGCCTTCCCTTGCAGGCCTGGTCCCTCCCAACCACTCTCCCCTGCTGGCCATCTTGTGGTGGCCATCTTGTGTCCACATGGGGGTAGGATTTTTGACCATCTGTTGGAGTGATGGTCAATATGCATATTACTCTTTTATTAGATAGGATAGAGGCCTGGTGCATGGGTGGGGGCCAGCTGGCTTGCCCTGAAGGGTGCCCCAGATAAGGGTGGGAGTTCCCTTGGGGTGTGGGGTGGCCTGGATGAGGGGCTGTGGTGGTTTGCAGGCCGGCCCCGTCCCCTGGCGACCCAAGCAGAGGCCCTGTATCTGAAATTTATTTACCTTTTACAATTGAAACTTTGTAGCCTAGAGCGGAGCCACGCCTTTTGCTTGCTCCATGGCGGCAGCCATATGTGGGGATTTATGTATCTTCTATAATTGAAACTTTGTAGGAGTGAAGGTCTAGGTGGGCTAGGGCTGCAGAAAGCTTGGCTTCCTTCATCACCAGGGAAACCCAAGCCTCTCTCCTGCTCTCTGTGGCTTGGGTTTATTTGCATATTTGCTCTCGATTGACTGGTGGGCATGGCTTGTGGGTGTAGTGGAGGTATGGTCAATTTGCATATTATTCTTATTAGATAGGATTGTGAAAATAAATGACTGTAGAGCTTGTGGATGGGGAGAGATTTGTGGGGCTAAAGTTAATAAGTTTCGTGGAAATGGTTATTTGGTATCTAGGTGTAGCTCCCAAGAACTTATGCATTTAGAAAAATGGAAAAATTCTGTACCCACAGCCAGTCCCACCTTATCCTTCACCCCACAGAAGTATCCTAAGGTAATCTTTGAAATTTTTAGATTCTTTAAAAATTTTGGTTGAATTAGTGGTTAGTAGTATCTCTCTATGAATGATTTTCTTTTATATCTTTAAAAATTTCAAATTTTTTTTTTTTTTATCTTGTACCACCTCATTTTAGCATTAAGGGATGAAACAACTTTCCCTCATATCTATTAGGTAGGTTAAAGAGCAAAACTTCAGTCATAGAAATTTGAAGATCTAATTAGCCCTATTGAATAATTCTTAAATCAGACACCTTCCCATCTAGATGTAAACAGGTTGTCTGAGGAACCATGAAAAATAGAAGGTTTTTGTAGAAAACTGGGCTGGACAAGAAAACAATTAGCAAAAGAAAAGAAAGGATTGTTTCAGGCAAGGTCACCTTCCCTAAAGAAGTTGGTCTTCTCAGGCTGATAGTTTCAGCTTTCTTTGGGGAAGATGGAGAAGCCCACAGGGCATATTACCTCTTTGGTGTTGACCAGAAAATTCAGACTGACTGAGACTACATTTCCAGAGAAAGTTCGAAACTGTAGTTGGTATTAAGGTGTATCATGTCGAGGTCCAGTGTTATGGGCTTTAGCATGATAGTGCCTCCATTTGGGGCCTATGGTTTTCTTTTTAATAGGTACTTCTATCGACTTCAATGTATGTTCTCCCCTTGAATTGGAAATGTGTCTTTAAAACAGATGTTCCTACATGAGAATAAAAATTTAGGGACCATTTTGAAATCTATGTAAGTCTTTTCAATGAGCTTTTACTCCGATATTACAAAAATAATAAAAATACCACTTAAAATTATGACTTTTTTCTATTGATGGCTTCTACTATTATTGCTACTGAAATGGCATATTTTACATATTTTTAAAGTAAGAAATTTAGTGAAATATTGTCTCTCATTTGGGACTTCAGCATAGACACTAAGTTGGCAGCTTATATTTTGGTGGTGGCACTGTTAGCAGGGTAAGCTAAAGCTTTGATGGGTTGAGCCACAGTAATTCTGAAGCCTGTCATTTGCAGAAGTGTTTTGAGGAGTAAATAGAGTAATTAGTTGGCTAAAAAGTACTTTATATTAAACTTTTTCTTCCAGTTGTCTTTTAGCATAAATTTCATTCTATTGTGAATTTAGATTTTATTTAGTGAACTTTTGTAATACTGGTTTTTATACAGGAAATACTATTGGGAAAAAAACCCAGGAACTTTCTTATTGTTTCTGGGTGACAGTACAATAACTTTGGGTGAAATGTTTTTCAAAAGAGTTGATTGTACAATCTTCAACATTGTTTTGAAGGTGATTAACAATTATCTAATATGTAGCAATTTGAAATTTATCTTTAAATTTTTTGTTACACTAATATTAGTACATTTTATCTTCTGTTGATATTTACAGCATTTAAAAATTAAAATAATTTAAGATCAATTTCTTTTTTTTGAGTCTTTTGAAAAAATATACGATTGATAGTTTTATGTATTGAAGCTTTTCTCTCTCTCTCTCTCTCTCTCTCTCTCTCTCTCTCTCTCTCTCTCTCCCTCCCTCCCTCCCTCCCTCCCTCCCTCTCTCCCTCCCTCCCTCCCTCTCTCCCTCCCTCCCTCCCTTTTTCCCTCTCTCTTCCTTTTGTATTGAAGTTTCTTAAGCTTTAGAGATTGAAGTGTTTGGGATAAAATGGAGTAATTTAAGTATGCAATTGATTTTTCATCCTGAGGAGTTGGTCACTCCTTTTTTGGACATAAAAAGATTTTATTTCATAGTCATAAAATAGTTATTCTCATCTTACTCCATTGCAATTAGTGATAAAACATTTATTATAAAAGCAAAAATCCTTATGAATAGAAACGTTACAGGAACAGAAGTCTTGTATATTTTATCTTCATCGTGCAATATCCATCTTAATTAGAGAAAAGGGTTGTGAACACTGTGACAAGAGTCTGAAATGAAATCACTAATTGATGTCAAGCTGAAGAGAGACTGTTAGTATGAATTTAGTGACAGCAGGACAGAAATTAACCTTATTATTTTATTTAGTATATTACATTAGTTTGTGTATTATTATTAATGCAGGTTCAAGGCCACTTTATTACCATCTCCCCCTTTTTTTAAGCAAAAAGTAAAGGTGTGAATATTTTTATTTCAATTACAAATTAAAATGATAACTTATTTTAAGTCTTAGTAAAAAACATTAAAGGTTTTAATATTTATTTTCTCTCCCTCCTTTTCTTCCTTCTTTTCTCTTTCTCTCTTAACATGTCAAGGCTAGGGAAATAGTTCATGATGGTGCTACCCAGCAACATTAGTCAGTACAGCTGTCTATGGTCATTTAAATCTCAGAAGAGCTCTGTTGTTTATAACAAAGAAGGACTTTCTGAAAGCAATATATATTTATTTTCTTTGCTAAGTTTTGGGCTAAATCAGTTTCTTCTGTCATTGTTGAGGTTTGGCCTAAGATAAATAAGAGGAATGCTAAACAGCAACCTGACTCTTCAGAAAAAGGAATGACTCATATCTTAGAGATAATTTGTGACTTCAGGGTCACAAAAAAGAATACAGGGGGTGTTTGTTTATGGTATTGACCATTGGAACCATTGTGGGCTCAACCATGACACACTATCTTTTTTTAAAGTTTCCTTAATAAACTATACTATTTTCTCCTATCAACCAATTATTCCTTTCTTGAAAAAAGTTTCTCCACAAAGAAGGGAAATATATAATATGTAAATAAAACTATGGTTATGTTACAAAATTTATTTTCTCAA